GCTAAACGGATCTTGTTCGCCTGACAGTTGCAGTCCACAATTGGTATCACACAACAAATATAGAATGTCAATTCCAGAACAATTTAGCAGCAAGCTTCATTGCCCTCTCAATGCTAACAGAACCAGGATCCTGAAAAACATGACTGGACGTATGCGTGTATATGATCAAGATGGACGAATAAGAATGGTGCAAAATTTCGGTGAGTTCAACATTAATTAAATTAAAATTAATGTAATAATTGATAAACGTATAAAACAACATTCAATTAGATCCAATAATAAGTCAACAATACGACAAATAAATTTGTATCCATGAATTTGTTTTCCAATTTTTTTTAAATTTTTGAATGAATTTTTGTATTTTTAAATTTTAAATGTATTTAAATGTTTTCATATGGTTTAGTTTCACGTTCACCCATAATTTTTCGAATTTTTGTTGACAATCATTAAACAGGAATTTTTATTATGTTTCTTTTTCTAGCTGGCGCAAGAACACCAATTTACATACTGAGCAACATAAGTGGTCAAGTATATTCAGCGGAAGGATACTAATTCACACACTGAATGCAGTAGTATATGCCTAACGCAATATTTGCCTATTGTTAACAGTCGATGCATTTATTATGTTTTAGATTACGTATATGATTATATTATGATGTATTCTACAGATCATTTGATAAACAAATCTTTAATCAACTTGTGAACAATATTTATGTAAAAGTACAAGAGCCGAGTGGTGCAATGATATGACGCAATACATCAAAGTGCTACATGTGTAACTATTATTGCTTGCAATTAAAATAATGTATTAATAAAATTATTTAGTTTTTATTAGTAGTAGTATAAAATACTCCTGAAATATATGTTATTGTTGAGTGATTCTGAAAGTGGACATTGATATACAGGTAATGTAAAAAATTAAAAAAATATCAACACGCATGTGTATATGTTACAAATGTGAATTAGTTCAATAAAAGTATGTAAGGATATTTGTGAGTTCAGTTATATTTTTGTACGTTGTATAACTCGCATCAGAAAAAGTCTTGTTAATAGAAATTATAATAGTTGTTGATGATGAATAAGATGATGTTGATGATAATAACAATGATGATGATGAAAACAACGATGATGATGAAGAAGATGATGTTGCTGTTGATGATAATAATACATTAATGATGATGGTGATAATAATTACGATGGTGATGGTGAAGACAACGGTAATTCTACATTCAAACTACACCGACGTATGCAAATAGGCCTATGCCTAAACTATGAACAACAGCATCTCTGAAAACTGATTTTACTTACAATGCTTAGCCAAGTATTTTGTTTATAGATGGGTTGGAAATAGATAACATAGCGATTTAAACAGTCCTGTATAGAGTAAGGAACATAAACAAAATTAAAACACATCATACCATTTTTACGGTCTTTTGCCAAGTTTCTTCAGTAATTAAATCATTGATTAAATCCTATCCGATAGCAGAAAAAATCATTAATTTGATGCCCCCGACACGTCCATCGATTTTTTTTTGCGAAAACGACCATCTTTGAATGATGAACCACTTGATTTAAGTTGTTTTAATATACTTATAGTCTATATTCTAATAGTAAATATCGGTTAGACATACAAATTCAACCCGATAACTAGTTATAGTAGT